AGTCTGCTTGAGATTCATTCTCTCTCTCCCTCTGCCCCTCTTCCCCACTCACCCTCTCTCTTCTCTCTAAAAAAAATAAATAAAAAGAAAAGAAAAAATAAGAATCCAGTATCGGTGGCCAATAAATGGTCGTGCATATGCTTTAATACCTTAAGACAACGTTAGCAATGGAACTTTCTGCAGTAATGGGTTCTATGTCCTACATCTGCACTGCTTAACATGTGGCTATAGAGCTCTTGAAATGTGGCTAGTGTAGCTAACAAGTGAATTTTTATTGTATTTAATTTTAATGAACTTACCGTAAGTTGAAAAGCCGTAGGCTGTTATTGGGTGGCACAGCTTTACAACTGAAAGTGAAAGGAAGGGAGGGAGGGAGGAAGAAATTTAAAGCTCTTTTGAAAAAAATTTCATTGACATACACTGAGCCCTTCTTTGAGCCATGTACATTTACTACCTTAGATGAGGCATCTCCTGGAATCATCTCGACAACCCCATTTTACAGATGAGAAAACTGAGGTTCAGAAAAGGGTGTGGGTGACCTGCCCTGATCTTAACAGGGAGGACTGGCTGAGCTACGTTGTGAGTAGGTTGTTTCTGACTCCAAGACAGCGCCCGCCCTCAGCCCCGCCTCCGCCCCGCCCACCTCGCCTCCCTCACCTCACCTTTGGCCGGTTGCCTGCTACCTTTTCCTAATTTCCTCATCGATAATGCTCACAATCTTCTGCAGCCTGGCCTCATCCACAAAGCCATCGCCTTTCTGGGCACAGAGGGGAAAGAGCAGGGACATGTATGTCTCCCACCCCCCTCCACCGCCGCCCCCCCAACCCAGCACCGCCCTCCCTCCTGGTCTGGAACACACAATCACAATCACCTTCTTTGAATGGACCAGTTTTCCATCCACAAACACCTCAAACTCCCCTGTAGCCTGGGCAGATCTTTCCTCCTCCTGGGGAGGGAATGTTGGGGGTGGAGGGGAAGGTGAGAGCTCCTCTCCAAGCCCCTGGGGTCTCGGGACCCTAACTACCCACCCCCTCACTCCCCCAGGCCACCGGCACACTCACAAAGCGTAGACAATTTGGAAATTGCAGCTCCAGACTCTTTCTCAGTAGAATGTACTGCAGGGAGGAGATGGGATCATGGGTTCACAGGATCAGAGGGTCATGGGGTCAGGGGAGGGGAAACAGGACCTCCTTCCAGACTTCCTGTCCAGCACTCCCCCCACCTCCAAAGTCAAAACTACTCACCCGAAGGCTGTAGCTTCAGAGGCCGCTGGATGCCGAGGGAAAGAGAAGGGAGACAGAGAGAGATGGAGACAAGATACTGAATCAGTATCTCCCCAGGCCCAGAGGGAGCCTGTGAACACCGGACTCCGATCCCATCCCATACTGCTAGCTCACCCAAGGCAAAAAAAAAAAAAACCACAACAGTCCTCTGTATGGTCCACAAGCCCCCACGGTATCTGCCCCATTGCCTCCATTCACTCCCTGGCCCACTGCTCCAGCAAAGGAGGGAGGGAGGAAGCACTTTTGAAAAAAATTTCATTGACATACACTGAGCCCTTCTTTGAGACATGTACATTTATTACCTTAGATGAGGCATCTCATGGAATCATCTCAACAACCCCATTTTACAGATGAGGAAACTGAGGTTGAGAAAAGGGTGTGGATGACCTGTCCCAATCTTAACAGGGAGGACTGGCTGAGCTAGGACTGGGACTACCCTCAGCCCCGCCTCCACCCCTCCTACCTCGGAACTCCTCCTCCAACACTGCATG